AACGTACCTGGCCCAGCCTCGCGGCAGTTGCCAAATCCTTTTCGAGCCCCTCCAAGGCAACATGGTTATGGAGCAGGAATGCGCAGTCATCGCGGCCACAGCAGCAACGGGGAGAAGCAGAAGAGGAACTGGTGGCCGCGTGGGAGGGAATGCAGGGCAAATGATTAGCGGCTGGTGGATCGGAATCCATGGCTGGGAGGGAAAGTAGCAGCGGCAGTAGCAGCAGGATTCTTCGGAACAGGTGGAGGAAGTTGAAGCAGAAGGTGAGTTGGCACCCCTACTAGTCGGAGCGATGAGCTGGACTGGAGACGCCAGTTCATCGAGAGACCAGAGAGGCAGTCAGTGAGAGATAGAGGAGAGTGTGAGAGATTAATTTTAGGCGCTGAAGTGGAGATGGTGTCTTTGCTTCAGACACAAACCAGTCACTAACTTAGTTAACTAATTATGATTAGGGGGAAAAAGGAGGAAAAGAATCCGAGGCAAGAAAGGGCCCTTGTCGGGCCTAGGAAGAATGCAGAGACCGAATCCTGCAGGTCCAATGGCCGACATGCACGACCGGGGATGGGAGAAATGGATTGAATGGATGGGATGGAATGAGTTTCACTGGAAGAAGAAGTAAAGCGTAAATAATGCATTTCGCCCAGTCGATGATGTCGAACAAAACACAAAAAGATGTAATCAAGGCGGCAGCTGATTTAGGGCAGATGATTGGCTCGATCAGGGAAAAGTTACCCACGACAGCGAAGTTTATCGGTACTGCCATTACGAACAGTACAGACATACAACACACTCTCATACGTAGTTTCATTCTACAACAATCATCTACTATGAGTATCAACATATGGGAGAAATTGGAGAATTTCCCTCGACACTCACATGAAGATAAAAATAACTCATTTCTGAATAATGCACTGACAACTGTTTGTTCCTTTCCCCGATCTGATCCGGAAGAGACTCCACTCCCCGATGAAAATGATACGCAGCAAGCAAAGCAAGCAAGGCAAACCAGGGAGGCTGGTCGGTGCCTGATGGATGCAGCATCCCGTGCCAGCTGGTCCTGTCTCCATCCACTGCTCCATTCGGTCGCCCAATTCCCATCCATCCTCTCCTGGCTCGTTTCATCATCAGCATCAGCATCAGCCTCGTCTTCTTCTTCATCGGAAAGCCCAGAGAGTGGACCGGTGTGCATTTGCATATTCCGCTATTCCCTACACTTGCTGTTGTATGTACTACTACCTACAGCGCCCTTTTTTTACCTTCTTTCCCTCGGAAGGGAGAGTAAGGAAAGAGGCATAGCCATCCCCCTCCCAAAGAACTCAAACCCCTGCTGCAATCAATCCATCATGAGATGCAGGTACACAGTCTTTCTTCACATGCCACATGTAATCAAACCGTTCACATAAAATACTCCCGAGACTACCCAGATCGCCCGCTCAAAGTAGAAAGTCATTACGCACATTAATAAACGCCCCGGCGCCGCCCTCCTCGCTAATCTCGTTCACCAGCACTTCGGTCTGTTGGTAAAGTCGCTCCAGCGCGGCCGATGAGGATTTACCCAGAGACACTGCTTTCGATTAGTAACTGAACTGTGATCAGTAGATTTCAATTAACATACCGAGAATGGCCGAGTTCAACTCTTCCGCCACGGCAATTCGTCCCGCAGGGTCCAGGTAGTGGCCATGCACTGACCGTCGCGCGTCTTGGTAGGCCACTAGGGAAAAGATGTCGTCCAGCATCTTCCGATCCCCACCCCGCTCCTCTGGTGGATAGTCCAAGAACAATTGCTGTCCGTACTGCACCGCCTCCGTGAGTAGCTCGTTCGATCGCGCTGTGCTCTCCGTTTCCTCCATGTCCATGCCGTCTGCCTCGTAACCATCGCCTTCCTGTAGCTGCTCGTCCAACTCCATCTCCTGGTCAAACACTGCGCTGCTGTCCGACAGCCCATTCGACGACTTGCCGCGCTTCGACGGCGACGGCGACGACTCGTTGCACCGACGCATCATCTCCAGGAATTTGCGGCATCGTAGCTTGAAGTGGATCTGCGGGTATGTCTGCAATACGTTCGCGTAGTAGGCATTAGTATACTTGAGTGCCTTGTCAATATCGCCTTCCAAGATAGCCGCGCGGATCTCTGTCGCCAATCAGTACAGGAAGAAAAAAAACAACTACAAGGGTGTAGAGAGTCATACTCTGCCGATTGATGGCTTCAACATCTTCCTCCACCTCGTACTTCTTCAACGGTGCCTGTCGACCGTTCTCCAACGCCGTCGACTCTGCCGCTACCTCTTCGGCAAACGCGCGGGCGGTCTCGACATAGCCATCATGAGCAAGAAACTGCGCCACCAACTCCTGCAGCAGGCCCGATTCATCCAACGGGGGTTGCAGATTGGCCGTGCTGGTCAGAGCAATCTCCGAATGGATCAATGACTTTTCTTTCTGTCCGAAAATGTTAGCTACATAACAATTCAAATACGAATAGCGCGTGGGTTGGCTTACCTTGACCATATCATCGATATCAAACATGAAGGGCTGTTGCCCAAAGTTCACTACCAAGTGGACGGGCGGTTGCTTCTTCATGCCCACCGACGGGTACACCTTTAGGTTTCGTAGTTCCCGGAATGCATTTCCTGGTCGTGGTTAGCTGAGGTAATACTCTCGACATTGTGAGGCAGCCAGCATGGAGGTACCTAAGAACACGCCATTCTTGGTGAAGAAAGCACATCCCGTGGAGAAATTCACACCACATCCCACAGTGTCATTAGCCCCAAACGTCGGACCGTACTGTCGTCCCTGCCCCTGACTTTCTCCGAAGAAGGACTTCCCATCATCGCCATGGTAAGCCCATGATTCCTGTTCCCATCCGGGCAGTCGCTCTACCGAGGCTTTCTTGCTCGAGAATCCGATTCCGATCATTCTATGTTCCCAGTCAGCATTCTGATGAACCATAACGGGTATAGAGTGGCCTCCGCGTACCCCTCTTTGGGTTTGGATAAGATGGTGATCTCAAAGTAGTAGATCCCGCACTGCGGGGGCATGGGATTATCTGCCCGAACGGCAGCAGCCTCATGTTCATGCTTGTTGACCGGACCGGTGTATCGGACTTCTAACCCTCCGTTCCCAAGCTCCAGGCCGGTGAATTTGTCGTCGTCGCTCCATCGGGAGGGGAGTGGTAGCAGATGGTCATCGTCGCTGGGGGGTTCTCTTTCGATGATATCATAGGTCATGCCCCGATGAGAGGGTGCGATCCGGGGCAAGCTAGCCTGGCTGGAGGAAGTGGAGAGGTTATTGGAGGTGGAGGAGGGAACGGCGCCATCGCGCTGGGCTGCATGCTTTGCCCGACGGGCGGCATCGAGACGGGAGACATAGCGGGAGTTTTGGAGATATGAGGGGGTGAAGGAGAGTGTGGCCGAGTCGGTGAATGCACCGGGGTTGTGATAGCAAGGGTCAAAGCGGGCGAGGTTGGCAAACTTCCGAGAGTAAGAAGGAAGCGAATCGCCGGGCGACGACCTCCATGAGGAGTTCATTTGCATCTCGGCATCCACGGCGGCGGATGGCCTCAGCAGGCGGGCTTCGGGAGAGAAAGGCGGCGGCGGGGGATACGAGGCGGTAGAGGTGGAGAGGGAGGGGGAGAAGGGCGAGAAAGGATGATTGCTAAAGGTGGGAGGAGAGAGAGCGGCGGTCCCCGACAGCACTGAAGCGTAAGAAGACCGACGGGGGATGGAGGAGATACTGGGGACGTTGGAGTAGTAGTTGTAAGTCGAAGGAGTGGAGGAGGAGGTGGTGGTGGTGGTAGTAGCGGCAGTAGTGGAGGCAGTAGTAGTAGTTGAGGTAGTGAGAGCAGCAGCTGCTCGTGGAGCTCCACCGGAAGGGGGAAACGATGCGTCAGTCATGGCTGCTGCTTCTGCTGCTGCTACTGCTGCCGGGTACTAACTTAACGCTTGCTCTGTTAGTTTACTTAGCCAGTACTTTCAAATAATGTTATTTCATTCGTACCATTTGTATCTGCACCGTAAATTGTGATGAATTTCTGCTTGCTCGCTCGTCCGTTATTTGTTTCTTGTTGATCAGCAGTTATATTCTGCACCAGAATTACCCTCGCTCTTTGTCGTTTTCCCCGTTGCTCGCGGGTCTGGCTTTGGCTCACTGTCTCGTGGAGTATTAGTTAGTTCTGGGGCACTTCCGTAACCGGGGAGCGTAAGTGGAGCAACATAACTCTCCCCCTAAAGGGCTGATCGATAGTAGTAGTAGAAGACAAGAGGGAGATACATACATGAAGCCAACGATCAATCCAGAAACGCGCTTCGTGCTCACTCACATCAACACAAGCATTCGAACAAGCAGAAATGCCAGCACAAAGCCAAAGTGAGAACAAAAAAGAAAAACAAAAGAACAAAATCCTCAAGACGGAAAAGAAGAGAAAGACCAGAACCGCGTGCAGTGAATGACCAAAAGGGCACACCTCGCGTGACCCAAGGAGAAAAGTGAGCAGAACAGACCAGAAAAGCACTTGTTTAGTCTTTTAGTATGACAGACAGAAACATGACGGATGGCCTGACCCGAGCCATAGTTCATATTTAATTATTATTATTATCACTAATAGAATAATCCTATTAATACAAAATAAGAAGAAAACTGCGGGGAAGAAGGGCAAGACTTTCGGCTTCTGTCTCCTTCTCCTTCTCCTCCTTCTTATGATCATGATCATCCATCCATAGAGAAAGCAAAAAGAAAAAGACAGGACCGGTAGGCATACAACAAATCCCCGGGTATTATTTACTCTTAGTTTAGCTCCTTGTCAGAATGAGGAGAAGGGGGGAAGAATTCCCCCTCTCTCCCTCTCTGGCCTATTCTCCCCGCGTTTCTTCCCCCCTTTGCCCTTGCATTCATTCATTCATCATCCGTTGTGGTCCAGCAGGAATGACGACCTGCTGAGCACTTACTTATTTTTCCGTTCCCTTTCTACCTATCCGTGGAGCGGATTGTGGGGAGACTCTCTCTTGATGTCAAATGTTGGTATGTCTAGACTAGAACTGGGCGGGACTATGATGCCAGGGTTGTGTATGACACCCCCGGCTCTGGCGCCATGGGGGGAGGGGGGGAACACCCCGGGACGGTCCAACCCACGATTCTTCCTTCGTCCGGGAGCATCCTGGGACTGGAGAATTCGTCAGTAAGTATCTACAGTATAGTAGATACCCACTCCGTAGCTAGGATACGAAGTCTATTGCTCTACAGCATGGAGACCTTTGCTATTCTGGGGGGGATGGAGGCAGCACGACGAATGCTGACAGTCTTGGCTACCGGAAATCTCCCCCGTCTTTGCTTTTTAGGCGTCGTGGATGTAACATCACCTCCTGCCACATTGTATCACCTAAATATATCCTATAGTGCAACGACGGAGGCAAGCATTCGTTCCTTGATCGTAGCCTAGAGATGGCTTTCCTAGCTGGTAGTCATGGGATGGTGGTTCCTCCGGTTATCTACGGACTACAAGACAGCTACTAGTCTAGATGAATATAGTGAGCACGTGCGGCCATTCAGGTGCACAATCAGCCTTCGATTCCATGTGGGACAATGCAGACAATGCTGCCATTCCAGTCCATTTTGGTATCCATGTCTCGAATATCCGGCCTATCGCCGAGAAAAAGAAAAGAAAATTCCCTCAACCCCTTGTCCAAGCCCAAAAGCGAAATTTCTACTGATACAGAACAATGGTAAGTAGTAAAAAGAAAAACCGAGCAGTGAAAGCAAGCAAGCATCTCACAGAGAAAGAGCCCATGAAATGTGCAGAATGCACCGCCACGTCCCCATGCCAGAGCCTCAAATACGTCTCTCATGCGAGTGAAGCGCTGATAAAGTCCGGTAACCGTCAAACCCAACGCCAACCCGAGTAACACGCAAGTGCAGAAACAGAAAAGCCATCACCAGGAACATCGAAGGAATAAAGGTAGTAGTGTGTCAAAAAGTAATGTACAGGAAAGACAATATGTCGTTGGTGGAGGAAGCAATAGCCGTTGCATGATTCTCTTCACGCAGTCATGGCGATGGCAGGAGAAGACGCTTCCGTGAGGTTGGGCGGAGCGGGAGTAAGTTCACCGTCACCAGTGCTCTTCTCGCTGGGAACGCCACTAGCACTCTGGTTGGCCTTGCTGTCGCTGTCACCAGTCTCAAGAGCCATGCCCTGGGCCTCGTCGTTCTCCTCGGACTTCAACGGACGGGGAGTACGCCAAGAAGGCAGCATCCATTGGATACCGGTGAAGCTTTTCAGCTGAAGAGGCTTACGCTCCCAGCGACGGCATGGGGCCCCGGTGCGATCTAGAGCGCGTAGACCAGCATTGATGGCACCCAAGTTAGCCTTGGGACCGAGCTTGTGAGCGGCCACCAACTTGGCGGTGTCGACAGTGCCGTCATCACTAAGAGGCAGTTAGCAGATGCACAATAACCAATTGACCGGGTCGGAGAACATACAGTCGGGGCTTCTTCTTGGGACCCGGCTTGCCTCTCGGCTTCGGGGTGGTTTCGCCCGTCTGGTTGAGGCCTCGTTTGGTGCCCGGCTTAGGGCCCGGAACGCCCTTGCGGCGAGGTGTGTCTGCAGCCGAGGTGCCTGCGGCGGGGGTGGACGCAGCATCGGAGGCATTGTCCACGGACGAGGGAGGGAGAGGTAATTCGGCGGACGAGGAAGCCGGGGACGAAGGCTCCTGGATCTTGACGGGCGAGTCGGTGTTGCTGACGCTACCCCGTTTGCTCTTCTTGTCCTTTCCCTCGGGCGGTGGTGTCACGAACTGGCTCAGCAGATCGGTAGACAGCTTGAGGACAACAATCCTTTTGGAAGGTCCAGATCGGCTGGAGCGACCGTTTGCGGTGGAGCTGGCAGAGCTGGCGGCCGGCATGGTGGATCGTCTCGACGTCGAGATCGTTGGAGTTGATGAGGTAGGTTGGGTTGCCCCTTCAGACGATGCGAAGAGGAGCTGGGAGGAGAGTGAGATAAGAAGGGACCCCCCCGATCGGGTTGTTTAGGCAGAGACCACAGCCAAACGTAGGCGAAGGTGAGGTGGGTGAGGATTAATAAAGCCGCAAGACTGAGTTGGGGCGAGGAGGTGGAAGAATTAAGTGACGATCGTGACGTGGGTGTTGAGAGATTGGTTGGTGGGATGGAAGGGAACCGGATGAATGGTGGTGGTGTTAGTCGTGGGCGGCGGCGAGACTCGGTCAGAGAGAGGCGAAAGTCTGGCAGGGCTGAAGAGGGAGGCAGTGGACGTGAGGCGCTGGTGACATACTCCGGTGGTGAGGATAGGGCGGTGGTGGTGTAGGTGGAGTTGAGGGTGAGGATGATGATGGTGATGGGGGAGGAAGATGGAAGGAGGGAGAGGAGAAGAGAAGGAGGGAGACGGGGAAGGGAAGAAAGGGATGGATGGGGATGTCGAGGCGCCGAGTGGTGGTTTCATTGTGGTGTGTGTGTGTTTCTCACGCTCCTCGTCTAGGGAACGACAAGCCAGACTTTTCTGGTGCGGTCAGTCCAGGAGAGAAGCTGAAGGTCAGTTCCGACTGCCTACTGACTTGCCCTTTCGCCGCCCGCCCTTTCCGTACTTACTTACTTCCTTCCTTACGGAACGGAGTACTTTACGGAGAAATCCCCCCATTTTACTGGGTCCGGCGCGTTACCGCCGCGTCTCCATACCGTCCAATACGCGTCTTGTTCTTTAGTAGATAAGCAATTTACTACAGTGGTAGCTAGCCAAGTTGCTTCTCTACACCCAGCAACAGAACGGTTTCTGTCTGGTCAGAAACAAGTCAAAAACACCCCCATTTGGACGGTTACCAGTACCATACCACGCGCATCACATCATCTCCTGGACTATCCGGAGCCGTAAGTCCGTATGAATGCCTTCATTCAGACCCATGAGAACCATGAACTGCAATTTCTCTATGAGAGTAATAGCTACATCTATTCACTTCTTAAACTACTATTTGAATACACTGATACCATTCAATAGACCAACAATACAACAATCCTTATATAAATAGGAATCAAGAGAATACACATATCCCATTCATTCACTACCAGCCACATTCTCTCATCCATATCCTTCCCAGTCCGGTCCTCTCTCCCACTCACTTCTTCCCTCTCTCGTTCCCTCTTCTCCTATCACGAATTTGCAAAAAAATGAAGGAAAGGGAATGGGTAAAAAAAAAAAAAAATATGGATCGCCCGTCCCGCCTGGCGCCGCTTAGACTTTTGGGTCAAAAAAGAACGAACGAACCGCAGCCGCTTCCGGCTTTCCTTCCTCTTATTCCCTTTCCCTTTCCTTTCACTTTGGAACTAAATTTTTCCCATTAATTCGTAAGCGTTCAAAAAATCAATTTAATTTACAATTTAGTTTACTCTGGATGATCAATCGATCCATCCGTTTGCACACCTGATGCAGGATACTAAGATACATATACTTTGGAACTAAAAAGCCATGCATCGTGCATCAGCTGAGTCTTATTTCCAAGGAGGAAAGGAAACTGTACAGTAGGGGATAGAAGAGGAAAGAAAGAACCCAAACCAAACCAAATCTTGGAAATGGAAGGAAGGAATACAGTAAATAAATGACTCGACTTTTTCTTTGGATTAGAGAGACCAACTAACCTATCTACTAAATAACAACTATACTTACTAGTAACATCTAGCTACATGTTTCCCCTCCTCTTCCAGCCAAGTATCTAGTTAACAAGGATCCGGAGTACACTAAAATGCCACTATCCAGGGGGTTCAGTTACTACAAAGTGCAAGGAAGAAAAGAGGGGGTAAAGAAGGGAAGCTCGGAGCAATCAATCAATCAATCAACCAACCAACTAGTAACAACAACCGCTGCACTAAAGGGATTGATTCCATCCATGAAATCCCTCAACTGTGAACTACCAGCATATCTGGCCCCGATCGGCCAGGCTGCCTTGCCTTGGCCATAATCCATTCCATGGCCAACTATCTTTGACATTTAATTGTTAACAGTATTGGAACGATTATATGTATAGATGTTATAAGACTCGAGAATCTGACAATAATGACACACGTATATATATACGTAGTATCTACATGGCTATGTATACAGTATGTATAGGCTGGCTTGCTGGAAATGAAACAGGCCACGCATTCACCGCGGCAACTGCCAATAAGGATGCTAATCATTTTGATCGCCTCATGGCTGAGTTCTAAGCCGGACATTTATTCACTACTATTGTGTAAGATCGACACCACCATCGTTCAGATTAATCTACCGGGTGAATGTAGGGAGTAATACAACAATCATACTACTATGCCACCACTCCATTCAAACTAAATATATATTCAACTAAGAAAAGAAATGTATTCTACTACTAAAAAAAGAAAAATACATAATAACTTCACTCGACCTCACTTCATCACTTCAATCCGCCTTCCCCTGCTTCTTCCGTCGAATCACCTCCCCAACCGCCTGTTGCACTCCCGGACTAGCCCGAACACTGCCCAGCACCAGCGCCTCCTTCATGCCCTTCCGCAGCGCCGTCACGCCCTCACGATCACCCTTGAACGGCGCAAACCCCAACTGCAGTAGCCGAGTCGCTTCGCCATCCGTCGCCCGAGAGAGCTGCGCCAGCTGACCCAGTTTCTGCATGGTCTGCGGATGCAGACGATCGCCCGGGGCAGACGACGCCCGTTTACTAATCTCCGGCGGCGTGACCTGCGAGATGAAGATGTGCAGAGTGACCGAGGCACGCTGAGCCAGCGTCAGGATCTGGAACGGCAGGAGATAGAATTCGGGGCCCTTGGACGAGAATCCCAGCAAACCCTGCAATCCGGCGGGGATATAGCTCCACGGGAGTAATAATGCCGTAGGACGTGTAAGTAGGATCGACTCGAGGGTAACCAGCGCAGCGAAGGTGAAGTAGCGCCACTAGACGAAGCAACCACCGTTAGCCACCATACAACCCAAGCCCAGGCCAAAGAACCGCATTTCAAGAACGAGAAAGGAAAAGAGGGAACTCACATAACGTCCCCACTCCGACCAATACGTAAACTGCAGCACCACAATAGTAACCAACCCAATTACATACTGCGGCAGAGACCGCTGCAACCCAGCCATAACAAACTCCTGCAGGGTCCTCTTATCGCCCCAATTCAACATGTCCGGACCGTACATATCATACGCGACCCGCTTTACAGGGTCGAGAAGGGTATCCTGCGCCAGTCTCAGATACACAAAGTAGCTGTCGGACACGGCGCCGCCGGCCTTATCTGGGTGGTGCTGGGCAGCCAGGCGACGGAAGCGCGATTTGATAGTGCGTTCATCGGCGAACGGAGAGACACCCAGGGCGCGGTAGAAGTCGCCTGCGACTTGTACGCGATGGAAGGTCTCGTAGAGAGTGTAGAGGAGGTAGCTGGTCACGACGAGGATGTAGATGCGCCGGCGGTGTCGCGCATAGCGCGGAGTGCCGGGCTGAGGGCGGGGTTCGCCTGCACGGATGGTGATGCCATAGTAGACGCTCTGGACGATGGAGGTGACGTACTGATGCGAGTGTTGTTAATGAATGTGTATTTCATACTGCGCAACACGGCGCTTATAGAACTGCGGAGGGAATGGACACGGTACTCACGTTTGGGAGGACAGCCCAACCGAAGAAAGAGAGAAGCGACGACATGGGCGGGATGATATCTCAACAGGATACAAAATATTCAAGCCTCCATCAAATCAGTAACCAAATACCAACAGTACCAAAGAGCGACAACGACCAGAGTGCTGGTCCAGAAGATGTCTATCTTCATGCCTCCAACTAAACACCCACTCCGGATAGAAGCCCGCCTCACCGCCCACCCCACCGCCCGCCTCCACTCGCAAATCCGAAAAGGAAAAAAAAAGTCAAGAGGGAAAAAAAAAGGCATCGAGTTCCACCGGCATCAAATCAATCAACATAACCTGCCCTCCATTGCGCCGCCAATTCCCCTCCCCAATCGACACAATGGCCCTCGACGCAATGGACCTCGACCCCCACCCGACAGGGCCAGCCAGACAAACCTCGCCCGAAAAAGACCGCAAGCGCAAACACAAGGACACCACATCACCCAGCAAGAAGAAGCGCAAGCACGAAAGCGATGCCACCAGCAGCAAGAAGAGCAGCAAGAAATCCCAGTCCAAGCCCAGCACTAGTACTAGCAAACCCACGACCCCCGACTCCCCTTACACCCTCACCACCGCAACGCTCTACCTCCCACTCTCTCCGATCTCCATCTCGCCAACCCACGCCCTAGCCTCCCTGCTAGCAGAGCACCTCTCCCCGCTCCTCCTCACCTACTACGCCCCCCTTAAAGGCATCGTCCTCGCCTACTCCAATGCCTCGATCTCCAGCACCCCGCCGCCCACGTCCACCAACATCGTCAACGCCGAAGACCCCAACCTCCCTCAACCACTGACTCTGGCCCGCACCGCCGGCGAATACGGCGTCCTGTACGTCTACCTCACGGCGACCTTCCTGGTATTCCGGCCCCAGCGCGGCCAGATCCTCGAAGGATGGGTGAACGTGCAATCGGAGGGCTTCCTGGGCGCCATCGTCTTGAACCTGTTCTCCGTAGGCATTGAGCGGAAACGTCTACCCCCGAGCTGGAAGTGGATTCCTCCCGGTGAGGAATTGGAAGAAGAGCAGCAGCAGCAGCAGACATCCACCAACTCCGCCACAGAAAAGGAAGACAACAACGACGAAGACAGCGACTCCTCCTCCACCTCCGAAGGACAAAAGAAGAAATCTGCCTTCGACCCCGCCAAGGAACTCTTCCGTCCCATCGCTCTCGCCGAGGACGTCAACCCCCTCGCTGATACGGATCCTACTTCCATGAACGCCACCAACAACAACAACGCCACAGGCGACTACGACGACGACGAAACCGCCGCCGCGGAAGGATACTTCCAGTCGGTGTCTGGCCACCGTGTGCGCGGCACGATCAAGTTCCGGGTCGTGGATGTGGATGTGATTCCTGGGTCGGAGCGGGAGAGCGGATTCCTGAGCATTGAGGGTACGATGCTGGATGAGGAGGAGGAGAAGAGGGTTCTGGAGGAGGAGAGGACGGGCGTGGTTTCTTCCGCTCCTTCTGCTCCTTCTAGCTCCTACGGCGGTAGTGGATCCACCGGTATGACACCCAGAAAACTAGGCTCCGTGACGACCATGTCTGGTGCTTTGGCCATCCGGTCTGCTTCTGCGTCGGTGGCGCCGGAGCTGGAGCCGGAGGTCGTGGATGTGCATGTGGAGGAGTCGCCTAGTAAGACGAAGAAATCTTCGTCGTCGAAGGAGAAGAAGGAGAAGAAAGAGAAGAAGTCCAAGTCTTCGAAGAAGGAGAAGAGTAGGGAGTAAGTGTTGATGATTGAATGATATGGTTAGGATGGGATGGGGGTGACAGTGGGGAGGTGGTAGGTGGAATAACTTGACTTGTTTATAAGTATGTGTGCATGTTATATAGTATCTTTCTTTTCTTTTCTTTTTCTTTTTTTGTGTATGTGTGTGCATGTGTGTATCGTATTCAGCTTTGTTTCTGGTTGGCGTTAGATGGGAATCTCAAAAATAACTGGTTTATCTGACTATGGCTGTCATTTTGTTGTTGTTGATGGATGATATATCAAGGCTAGAGTACTCCGAGGTGAAATTGGAGAATAGGACTTCGTCTTATATATCAGATACTAGGCTGCTCTAGTAAGACATTTATGTCGTACTACTACTGGTACTATTACTAGTTAGCGATGGCATGAATAGTAGGTGTAATTGAAATAGAAATTCGGTTTGTAGTTGGGTGGTAGGATAGTACAGGTTACTCCGAAGCTATATGTATCATATAATTACGTTATGAACTATACATACTCGTCTTCATTGCAATAGATTCATTATCATCGCTATTAAATACAACTAGATCCGCACAGACTCAGGCACACCCACAGTCAACACATCCACTCCACTCTGGATCTGCGACTTAGTCGGCATATTCTTGCGCCGCATCAGTTCGGCACTCTTGACCATCACCGGGTCCATGCCCATCGTAGCAACGGCCACCACCGTGTCTCCCTTGCAGTAATACGCAGCGAACTTGGCGTTCTCGGGCTCTCCCTTCATCACTAGATCGTCCCATCCGCCCACAGTGCTTCCGCAGTAGCGAAGCTGGGCACCCAGGGCGGACCAGAAGATGGGGATGAACGCCTTGGGCTTGAGGGATTGCAATGATCCGCTGTGGACAATTGCGCGTGCTACTCCGCGTCCGGCGTTTTGGGCCACGTTCCAGTGCTCGATACGGGTGTATGTTCCCTTGTCCTGGTCTGCTCCTGGCCCGTGGTACGGGTAAGTGGCGATGTCGCCGATAGCAAAGACGTCGTCGTTCAGACCGGGGACCGCAAAGTGCTCGTTGGTCTTGATGGATCCATCCTCCTCGAGGGTAACGGATGGGTTGCCTTGGAGGAAGTCAGTCGCGGGACGCACTCCCACTCCAAGAATAACCAGATCTGCTGGAAGCACGGTGCCGTCTTTCAGGTGGACTGCGCCGACCTTGCTGGAATCGCTGCTGGAGGGAGTCGCCTTGTCCACGCTGGCGGAGAGTTTGAATTTGACGCCCGCCTTCTCCAGGTTACCCTGGAAGATGCGGCCGACCTGCTCGCCCATTACACGCTCCATCGGGGCCTTCTCCATGCCGACGATGGTGACATCATTCTCCTTGGCAAGGCAGTTGCCCACCTCCATACCAATGAAGGAGCTGCCAATGACAACGACCTTCTTGTTCTTCTGCTCGCCCAGTGCCTGGTGAATGGCCTGCACGTCCGGAATGGTGCGGAGCACGAAGATGTTCCCAAGGTCCTTGAATCCTTCCAGAGGGAGAGTGCGCGGCACACCTCCTGTCGCCAGGACCAGCTTTGTGTAAGGGTACGACTTGCCAGACTTAGTAGTCACCGTCTTCTTCTGGAAATCAACGCCCGTCACATCATCATGGGCAACCTCAATAGAAGCCTCCTTGTACCACTCCTCAGGCCGCCACTGGATCTTCGCGGCATCCGCAATCAGCGCCTTGGACAGCTTCGTACGGTCAATAATGAGGTTCGGTTCGCGGGTGATAACAGTAATGGCACCCTTGTACTTCATCTCCCGGATCGCCTGGACCACACCAAAGGTACCACTTCCACTGTAGAGACTCCATTAACATCTGACCTTAACTTCCTCAAAGGACTCGACTTACCCGCCAACAACGACCAACTTCTCCTGCTGCGAAGCACTACACTTCATAGCAGGATCTCTCTGAGCCGCCTTAACATCGGCTTCATTGGCATTGATATAAACAGCGCCATTCTTCTCAAACACCTCAAACTTCTTCAACGCATTCGGGGCCGGTGCATCCTCGACATCACCAGTCTCGACATTGAAGCAAGCTATCCAACATGGACGTCAACTTTCTATCCTCATCTATACCCAAGGGGTATCAACGATAAAACAATAAGAATAATAACATACCACCATGCCAAGGACAAGTAATCCTCCCCTCAGGAGCCACGACACCCAATTTCAAAGGAGCACCATAGTGGGTACACTTAGGGGTCATAGCGTGAACCTGACCATTATACCTAACCAGAAGGACCTTACCATCCTGGATACCGTCGACTTCACACTCGACCTTGTCCATGTCCTTGACGTCCGCCAGGGACGTGATGTCCTTGAGTTTGTAATCCTGGGCCATTTTGAGGGAATTGGTGGAGAAGGGTGCACGTAGGGATGATGCTCGTAAGGAGGGATGGATGGGGAGAGAGGAGGGGCTTAGTTTATTAGAAGAAAAGGATGAAGTAGTGAAAGATCTAGAAGAAGCCGAAGTGGGGTGAGCACAGCAGGAGCAGCGACAGAGAGCCGAGTTGCGACAACTGCAACGACAGCAGCGGAGGGGGATGCGGGTGGATGAAGAGGGAAAATGAATCGAGGATGAGGAGGAGGGGCAGCGAGGGGACCAACGAGCTGAAGCACGAAGGAAGAAGCTCTGACGGGCAGCAGTACTAGGGAGGAGGAGGGGTTGGGGCATGAGGGGAGATAGGTAGTATTAATTGGAAGGGGACAATCACGCAAAGGCAACTACTAGTAGTAAAGTAGCAAGTCAGCAAGCTAGTAAAGAATTGAAGTATTAATGGTAAATAGACATCGATTTATGATGCCATGGCATTGGGGAGCTTTATTTATCGGTTAAGTCACTCAAGAGAGTAGGAGTAATAGAACCATGACATAAAGAAGCCCGCCCATTCCGACGGAATTGCCATGGAAGCAGAACCTCAAAACACACCCGATACAACATAATACCATACCACCAGTCGCGCCTTCCTCAGCTTTTCTGTCGATGTTGAAGTCGTGCCTTCCCGGTTCGTCCATCAACCCACGTCAATGACGTCGCTGCCATCGCCCCCTCTTCACCAATCAGCAGTCGTGTTTTGTCAGACTGATCCGGGCGTGTGGGGCCCCATCCACCTCTCAGGTGGGGACCTCCAGGACTATGGATTCAGAACAAGTTACGGAGTACACAGTAGATACTTCCGAATGAAAAGCATTACGACAAATGAAATTCATCATGCATTACCCCGTGGATCCTCCGGAAGGATTATACACAGTAGGGAATCATCATATTTACAAACAGCATGTACATCCGCCCATCCACCTATCCGTCCATACAACTCCCGACCAAACCATTGACTGTCATCTCATCTGCTTCCATTCCTTCGTCGGCCCAGTGATTGTCGCGTCACCCGTAGGGTTCGAGGAATGTTCTTCTGTACCCATCCAGACCCTCGGGGAAGTCGATGTGAGCGTGCATAGTCTTCATCACTACCTCCCGGGGACACCGGCGGGCTCGATTGTGTCAGGTCCACCACCTCAGACAGCTGCGACGGCTCCGGATCGTCTTGGTAAGGCTGCGGTATACTCTCCGGGACAATGCTGATCGATGATGGTTCCTCCCCGGCTTGTGATTTAACTCGGGGAGATAGTCTCGGTACGGGAGACATCGATCCCGCTAGGGACATGAGCTCCATCGTCCCGTTTCCACCGTCCGGGTTGCTACTGCGCCGCCCCTGGCGAGACGCCTGTCGTCGCTGTCGTTCCTCCTCCGCCTTGTCGATCTCGTAGAAGGGATTGGGAACGATGGAAGGCGACCGAGGCTCTTCCTTAGCAGGCGCGGCGGATGTCTCTCTCTTGACCGCCGGGGGAAAGTACGTTTCCATCAGGCAGTTGAAAGACATCATACTCACGGGGCTACTGATCATTTGGAGATCGGATTCTGACGCGTTGGCTGCAGAAACACCGTCATTGACGTCATCGGGGAGAAGCATCGAGTGCAAGGTCGATGGAGGGTCCTTGATCTCGGGGGCATCCTCCGGCTGTCGACCGTTCCGGCCATTCTCGCTGTCCTGTCCTGCCGGAGGTGTAGATCTGGACACCTGGTCTTCATGGCTACTTTTCGACCCGGTTGTCAAGTCCGCGGGAGGCGACTGAAACCCGTCAAAATGCGGCGACTTGATGGGGCTAGAGTGCATGGTCGGGCCCTCCGTGTGGTCAACAGGCTTTTGATTCGATGACTTCTCGTCGGGGATAGTTCCTTCCCTTCCCACGTTTCGCACTGGTGGCTGGCGGTCCTCGTACCCGCGTGTGGCCTCGGTTTTGATTGGACTGGGCTCCTCTGTTGCACAGGAGCTTGGTCGGGTGAGCGCAGGAACGCCAGACGAGTGTAAGGAAATTAGTGTACTGACATGCTGGATTTCCCAGCATTCCCAAGACCTGCAGCATCAGCAGATCGGAGAAGCTTGGGTTCAATCAGGTCGGCAAATGACAACTCTCGGAAGCCGTCGTCCTCCTCTTCGTCCATTCCGGGCATTTCAAACCCACTGTACTGCGGCCTATCATTCTCCTCATCCCAGTCCTGGTCATCCCGTGCCTCTCGTCGGTCACGCTTGGCTAACCGGATTTTAAAGATATCGTGCTCAAAGACCTCGTGAATCTTGGCGACTCGGTATCCTGAAACCGTGGGCTGCCAGCCCGTAGCCTTGGAAATTTCCAACTGCCGGAAAGCAATGATCGAACCCTTCTTCAAGCTATCCACACCCATGTCCTGTAGAGAGGCTGGGTCATTGGGCAGGGCAGGAAGGTCGTCTGCCGGATCCTCAGATTGCTCCTCTCCCGGCTGCTCTGCAGCATGCTCTACTCCCTCCATGTCTCCATTCGGTTGCTCGGCATCATCGTAGTTTAGTTGTAGATCGCCCACGGAATAGTCGCCGACGGAATAGCCGTAATCGCCATTTTCATATCCTTCGTCCCCATCGTAAACTTGAAGCTGCTGCCGCCGTCTTCTCTTCTTGCCCCAACCTTTGCGCTGCCTGATGATATCACCAGCTTCAGCGTCCCAGCGCTGCTCGAAGGGGAATGGCGGAGCGGTCAGCTCAATATCGTCATAGATACACTCGGTAGCCCGGAGGATCAACTTGTCTTGCCAGTTCTCTTCCGAATCGCTTTCAGGCGCTTGAGCCGTGTCTTCCTTCGGGGACTTTGAAGGTTGAACCTGGTTGTTGACCTTGCCTGCAAGCTTCCTCCGAGTAGCTTCCTCGTCTTCTTTGGTCCGGGGGGTTCTCACTCCCAGTGAGCCAAAGAGCATCCTCCTGGAGCTGGCAACATCAAGAGTACGCCGCTTGGAAGGTGGCTCGGCTTCATCTTCACCATTAGCAACATTGGTTGCAGGCTGTTTCTGGTCGATAGCTTTGACGCTCTGTGGAGAAGCAATTTCCTTTTGCTTCACCTCAGTGACATCGACTCCTCCTGATGCAAGATCACGGAGTAGCTTCTGTCGCTTTGCTTCAAATTCCGCACGTTCTTGTTCCTTAGAATCGAAGTTTTCTTCAGGAATGTAGTATGAACGTCCGTTGGCCTCTTCCCAGTCACGGAGAGCAGCAAAATCGGCCTGTGCGGGCAGGGCACCAAGTTCTTTTAGTTTTGCTAACCTGCGTCGCATCTTGTTACGCTCATTGCTTTTCTTGGTTCTCAGAGAGCCTGCTCCCGGAGGATTCGTCTTTGTGCGCATCTGCACATCTACATCAGAGTCCGAAAGCTCGTCCTCCGACTCAGACGTGGACATGTCCTCATCGGAGTCAGAGCTTGAGTCATCTTCTGAATCAGATGTAGAAGCTTCCGATCCGGAGTCATCATCGGAAGATGAATCACTTGCATTGCTGGAATCCTCTGAGTCGCTAGAGTCGCTGGTCTCGCTCGTGTCGCTTGCGGATGAGCTATCGCTCGTATCTGAAGCCGAGCCCGTAGCATCCTCTGGGATTGAGATGACTTTGCTGGCAACGGTGGCATTCGATTCCACAACAGACGGATTTTCTTTCTGGTCTTCAAATGTCACCGCCTTTGAATCCCTGCGAGTACCGTCGGGTAGAGAAGACTCTTGACTAGATGGATGGGCCAAGGAGCTCTTTCTTGGGGCGGATTTAATGATACTGGGTCTGGAGCGCAGCGGATAGCCTGCTTGCTCAATATCAATGTCTTCCGCCATAGGCATAGGGGATATCTCCAGATCTTCCTCCAGTCCCTTCAGCTCTTCTGCCAAGTCTTCAGGGTTGATGTTTAATTCATCTGAGTCACTTTCCGAAGCTTGATCATGTGTCTCGTCAATAGCATGTCGGATGACTGTCCCATTACCATCTTCTTCAAGCTCGTGGTAATCCTCATAATCATCTTGGTAAGCATCCGTGTATTCATCAACCTTCTTCTCCTGCGGCTGCTCATTTGACCTGATCACAGGAAGATCTCTTGCAAAGCCCACTTGATTATTCGGCGCCCATTCGGTATCTTCCTCCTCGTAGCGTGATCCATAGTCCCAGCCCGCAGCGCTAGTGCGTCGTTTCTTTCTTGGAGGGATCGTAATCGCGGGCCTTGACGACGTAGGTCTTTTCAGGAATGGCTTTCCAAAAGGGACTCCATCAATGAGGTGTTTGCCGTCGGACGATATTTGATGGCGGCCAGAAAGCCGTCTGGCTCGGAGGTCTGAGATCTGGAGGGCGCGTATCCTGCCAAAAGAAGAATTTGATAAGTTTCGTTTCAAGAGCAAATTTGCCAGAGTCAGGACAATGGCAACCGGCATAAGGACAACCACTTACAAGATTTCATCACCGTCCCGCAACAAGCCTTCCACTTCCATAAAGTGCAAGCACTCCGAGCCACCAACCTCAACGACATAGTCCTCGAGACCCCACTGTCCACTGCACTCCGTATCAAACAAAGCTGGTTCCGTTTCAAGCGGGATAACCTCATTCACATCTTCCAGGAGCTGCGCGATCGTGTACCCGCCATTGGAAAACAGCGCATTAGGTGCACGCGTCGAAGCCAGCGCAGAAGATGCGGCAGGAAGCATGGACGAAGCACTGGGCGCATTGTGGCCGAAAAGAGACGGCGGTGACGTTGTCCAAAGAATGCGCGTGACGGGCAGGCCGTGGCGCTGGATGATAAGATGGAGACGCATGGTGGATGGAATGTTTAGAGATTTTGTTTCAAGCTCCTCTCCTGTTGCTTCGGACCAGTCGCACTAGCAACGGCTCATTAAGATTAATAGTATGATGGCGAAAAGCAAAACAAAGTCATGCAGGAGACCGTCGCGTTAATGCTGAACAACGGCGAGATGCTTTCCGACTTGCTTGTCGCGTCGGAGTATGAGTACAAATATGGGGAAACCGCACGAAACGGGTTGTAGCTCAAGGCAAGATCACAACAGGGACATTTTGAGCGCTAGAAACACAGCAAAGATCTAGTAATAAATCGAAGAGTGGAAAGCGTGAACCAGAGAAAAGTAGAAAAGTGACGGGAGGAAACTGCAGGTGTGACGGCGACCAGCAGCGCGGATGTTGGGCCGGGCTAAGCCTGTTCGGTCGTTACACCTAAGGCATCAATCGTATTCACTACGGCCACACTATAGCTTGCTTTACATGACAGTTCCATTATAATGCTCCTATTAATTTATTTTATTGAATAGAATGACAATGTGAGTAATTAAAATGATTCAAGTCGCCTGCATAGTAACTGAAAATGCATCAGGTGGTATCGAAGAGCAAAGTAATATCCATGGAACTTTCATCGAGGTTTCCTGTTAACTCCGGAAAGATGCATGCAACGACACGGATGTTTTGACATTGTACTGAGATTGGTTCAATATCCCAGTGCTAGTTCATTAGATGCATCCAGCTGCAACCTAGGAAGCTGATTATTATGCAAACTTCAGGTTTGCCTACTTGGACTCCTGGGAACTGGCTTCCGGTTGGGAACGCCCAGGTTCATGGGCCTGACCCCTGGCTGGGACGGCACACGATTAACCTGGCTATGGGATGCTTGCGGCTTGCCAGGTGCAAGGGTCTGATATTCGGGAGGGCTATCCTCCTCCAGGAGAAGGGGAGCCTTGTGGATTTTGAGCACGCTTTGTTGACGCGCAACGGGAGAGTTTGGGGGTGAACCAGAACGGGACTCTGGTGGGCTTTCGGGTAGCATATCGAGTGTCTCCGACGAGGACATCGCCTCCTGGTTGCCGTACGGTGTGGACGCCTCAGGTTCCTTTCCAACTGGAGATCGCGGATCAGCTCCAGGTTCAACAGATCTTTCGGAAGAGGCATCTGGTGGGTTATACTCTCGACGGGGGCCATCCACAGGGCTAAGAGTTTCAGCCATGGCATCTTCGTAACTGGGAGGTGCATCGTCGTAGCCGTCCTCAGGATTGGCAGGCACAGGAGGTCTGGCAGGCCGAGGCGGCATTGGGGGGCGTGTGCTATCCATCGATCCGGTGGGACTTGTAGGGCTAGCCACTGGCCTGGCCTGACCATTGGCCGCCATGGCATCCAGAAGTGCTTTCGGAGGAGCGATGCCGGAGTAAACTTTCACGGGCATCCGTAGCGGAAGAACGATAAGTTGGGGCTATTGGGTATGAGCAAAATATCTAGAAATGTGCAGCTGACGACTTACCTTCATGTTCCCAATACTTCCATGGGTCAGGCCCACTCGAACTTCGAGCTCATACGTCCGCGAGACATTGCAGGTCTCGAATGACGGCGCTACCGTACTGGGTAGAGGTATGCCACTCCATAAACTAGAATCAATCGTCCACTCCGTATCCGCTGGGTCTCCACCTCTGCCGAGAGGCACGGCCATATTACTCTGACTGAGAATGACCCAAGTGCCACTTTCGGTGCGCCGTAAGTCATGAGCGACGATGTTGGTATAAGAAATCAGCTCGACCTGGATCATCTGCAGGAAAATAGTCTCATAAGACTCCGATAGTTTCTTGACGAGGACACGCATCGGTATAGGCTCATTGCAGGTCAGAATTGATGGGTTGGGTAGCCGCAGGTCAGCGGATACGCGAGGGGAACCGCCTGCGGTGTCCCGGAGCGAACTGCTCGACATCTTCTGGAAAAGGCTTCTTTTCTTGGACACATTCGGGGCATCCGTAAATTGGTGTTGTCGTCTTGCATAAGTTTCTTCGTTCGGTTTTCCTGTCCTGGGAGGCTCGATGGGAAGGAAGTTTAGGTTGGTGATCTAGAAGCCAATTATCAGCATTGGAATGCTGCAGATTATCCTCTTCTCGCAGCGGATCGCTCATTAAACCAACATACCGCCCTGAGATTCTCCTTGTAGAACTGGGGACGAATAACCGTCGCTTTCACATAGTACTTGATGTCGGCCATGCCTGGGAAGCCACTGAGAGATGGAGGGAGTGTCTTCTTCACATGGCGAGTGGTGTCCCTGGCCATTTCGACCCTTAGACCCGTGATGTTCAGGTTCGTAAGCATGCTATTGTGGATGCTGCACGAATTGTTGAATGGGAACTGGACAGCCACTATAAGTTCTGTGTGTCACAGGTATTACCATGCGAACTATACTGACCTTGAATTTGAAAGGATACTCGTACGTCCCTCTTGCGAATGTATAAGCTCTGTCTGGAGTCTCTGCATTGAATACTGCGGCAGTGGGGAACACTGTTTCGACTTTGTACAGGATCTACACCAGCTAAAATCAGTATCGCTTGCATTGAAGACCATTACAACAATTTCTTTCGCGCCTCGGATGGAAGAGGAAGAGGAAGTTGGAGGGGAATGGCTCAGGATTCGCACCTTGTGAACCTCGATTTCGGTACGCTTCTTATCCGACTGCTCATTATGTGGATTTTTCGGACCTGCCAGGCGCGTCCGACTTTCGCCTTCTAATTTTACTTGAATGCCTCCGATTGCAGCTTCAGAGTGTAATTGTAGAATCACTTTTCCCGTGAGATAGTCAAGATTGGTGAAATGCTTATGAGGCCGGTCCAGGTGGATGATTACAGACATGACGAGCACTAGCTGGTGAACCGTGTGGCGGTTGAAGCGGGCCGGCAAGCGTGCACAGGCTCGATGTCAGGGACCGAACCAGTCAGTCTCAGTGTTGGAGTGGACGACGATGCACTGGGAGGAATGGGAGGGAGAATATCTACTGAGAGCGGATATGGAACTCCAAGTAAACAAAGGAAACAGAAACCAGTGCACGGCGGATGTGGAAAGCTGGGAGAAGAAAAACGAAGACGGGAGTTCGGCAGTGACTTTCTGACTAGATTATTACAAGCTGGGAAAATGACGTTGAATCCAGGGGACGTGAAAGCGCAAGGCGTGGGGCAACCCGAGAACTGTACGGTCTCGGCGTGTTCGGAACTTTTCCCTCTCGAACCAAAAAACAATAGACCATTCCTAATGAATGAATATTATCCTGGAGTGTTGACTGCTGATTGATCTGAGCGAGCAATCGGTGGAGTTCATTGACCTGATTTTTCAATCATACGGTGGGTGCGACCCATTCTGGGCCTTTTCAGTCTGACAGTGTCTGACGGGGAGAGAGCCAGACTGAATGGCGATCCTCTCGCAGGGCTGGTTTTTGCTGGCCTCCGATTCGCGTCACAGCCGGGGTTCTGCTCAGCCACTCCGAACACAACTCTATGGTCAGTTATGGATTTCCCCTCCCGTTGCACCGCCACGTCACGGACGCTAGCAGAGCCATGGCAATGGATATCAAAGAACTGACGGTATGAATTAATTGGGTATCGCCAAGTGATCTATACTTCGAATTACAAGTACACTTCTAGGCACCAAGATTTCCAATTTGACTGCAGTGGGGTGGGTCGTCAGAGTCCTTCCTTAGCGAGCATGTCTAGATTCATTAGCCATGGTTATCAACCGATGCGCTGCCGAGACAATTTCGCGCCTTACCTGCAATATCAAGGTAAAATGCAATGGCGTTGAACCTATACGACACAAAAAACAGCCAATGTCAGCAGGGGCACTCGCATGTCCAATGAATTGCGTTCAGAAGTCTATTGGCGAACCTCTGTCTGTTGCCTGTAATTTCTCCGGCCAGCCACTTGAGTCGATTGCTCCAGTTGATTAAGTCCAGGTGGCTGACGCCCTCCAGGGTGCCCTTGTATGCTCCCCACTTGCTGCTGGCAACGCTGACAAGCCCATCATTGTACCCTTCTATTTGATCCAGAAGACGATGGGATAGACGGAAGACGGACCAGAAACTTGGCTGCATTGCCGCCCCATACGAAAAGTATCTGCATAACTCAGCCATGCTGATGACGGCACCATCTTCGGCCAGTGGGGACCTACCGGACGTCTTCAATGTCTGGCGTTGCGGGGTTGAAGGTGTTCGTCATATAGTCACGGGTTAATTGGGCGAATGCGCCCGTTTCTACCTTTAGCCGGTCTAGAGCATAGTACAGCTGGGCCAGGCGGTCATCTAAGACCATATTAGATAGTATTTATAGAAGCGATGTGCATACTAACCGCCAATCTGCTTGAGGGCGAAGTCTGCAACAGCAGAGCCTAGAAACGTTGAGTAAATGTTCTGCGAATATTGAGACATCACATACCTCTATGGGGAGTCGCAATCGTGGTCAACGATTTTACCTTGAAATCAGTCGGCTTCAAATGAGTGATCATATATCGAGAGTCAAGCCCGCTTGAGCACTGATTAACATCCGCTATTGAAGGGTAGACTTTTCTGGTTCTTACCCCTAAGGGAAGTGTCAACAACAGCTCCCGTAATGGCGGGTAGATGTTGCGCTTACCATGCTATGACTGTTCCATGTCAGACAAGACAACATCATAACATCTGAGGTAGAAACTTACGCAATAATGTTTACATGTTCTCCGGGTGCACCGGCAGCGATATCTCTCGCTAATTCTTCAGCACGCGTTTCGATGGATGCGGAGGGAGGCACTGTGGCAGTGATAACCCGAACACCTTGCATCGATAAAGCTTCCTTTATACCACGCCAATATTGAACTCCAGGAAGATAACGTCCAGCAAGACGCAGCTCGGCGAATCCAAGCAGGCCATGCGCGAGAACAACTGCATGTTTTGGGGCATCTGTTAACGGAGTATCAGTAGCTCGACACCGATGATAAGGTCTTTGCATGGCCCATGCTTACTGTAGTTCTCCCTGATTATCGCATATTCATCTCTGATAACGTTCCCCAGGTCTTCCAGGCGCGGATCGAGAGCGTCGGGGCTGTTGGGATGTTGTGGACTGTGCCTACGCGCAGAGGAATGAAGACATCTCAGGGCCGAGTAGCGGACAGAGAGCGAATGAAATTTGATGCTTCTTACGCCGTTGGACACGGCAATGGCATGTCTCATCTTATGATTCCTCTCACTAATTGTGTGATGCTGAAGAGGGGCTTGAAAGCAATGTATACATATGGGGCAGCCTGGTGTTCCTGATGACGCAACAGTTACTGGGCACTTCATGCCTTAGGCCGCAACACCATGGCACTGACAACGTCTACGTACTGTATCCACAGCTTGTGACTGGCAATAAAGGCATGCATGCTATCAACGAGCTAGCCTTTCTCTTTTAGTTTACTATTAGTGGTGTACATAAGCGCAACACTAGTATGCTGGGTTGTGCTTTAAAGGTCTTATATGTTGACTTGCAACAGCCTTATAACAGCATCGAGAAATCAAGACAACTTCAAGTTGACTCTTGCCAGCTTCAGACAGGATACAACATAATTTATGTAATGCTCAAACAGCGGGCCAGAACTATATTCACAGGCTGAAAGCAAATGACAAACAAGAACCCCTCATGCTGCCGCAATGACAAACGGCATCATTCCTCTATGCCTTGATCACGATCTTCTCGGACGGCTCGGGCTTCACATCGACCAGCGCATGGATAAGAGTCTCGATAACCTTTCCACCTCTCTCGTTGCCAGCATCCTTGATTTCCTGGAGCTTCACCTCGGCTTCCTTGTTCGCATCCTCCTCGGCCTTCTTGTATCCGCTCGAGTGCTAGAAACAGTATTGTCAACCTTCGCATTCGTCCAGATGTCGCATCTCCCAACTTCAACCCCGCAGGACAGATTGTCATTCATACCTCAGCCTCGAACTTCTTGAACTCCTCCTCCTTTTGCTTTCTGTACTCCTCAATCTCCTTCTGTGCTTCGGACTTTGCCTCCCTTATGCGCTTCGTGCGGTCTACAAGAACATTAATCGGGATGTTGTGGTTATCGGGTGTCTGATGACATACATTCTCTGGCTGGATAATGCGACACGTCAGCACTGATTAATGGTGCGGTATTCTTTCAAACACAGTGTAAACTAACCTTGTTGGACGATCTTCTGAGCCTCCCTCTCGGCCTGAAATAGAAATGGTCAACCACTATACCCCACCCACTTCAATCAAATGCGACCTACATCGAGGAGGGTCTGAATGCCTGCGGAGTTCTGAGCGGACTATCCGAAAGAGTCAGTATAACAATTTTCCAAGTCGAGCGACACATTCTCCTCACCATCTTTGCAGTATTATTTCTCAGAAGAGGCGCTTATGAGAACGAAAGAGTCGGAGAATATAGGAGTATACAGAGGTGGAGTCGTGAGCTTGTGATGCGCCGTTCGATCTCCCCGACGCCACGAATGACCCCTTAGGCGGTCGGGATTCTGCCACCTGACACCGCCATCACTGATATCACCGATAATCCGATGCAGATTTGGACATGATGCCACTCGCGCATTCAACCGTTCATTCATTTACTGCTTCTTATTAATTGTCGCGCAATTTACAAGTTGCATTTAAGGCAAGATGTCTCGTGCTTCCAAATTGACACTGGCCGCGACTGGTCTCGGTACGGCGGGGATCATCTACTTTGTGCACTGGGCACAGGAACAAGAGAAAATTGTAGGTCACCGGTGCTTTATGGCCAGGACAATTGCAGTGATTAATGCTTGTTTCGTATCTAGGGCATGCACAAGGCGGTCGAGCTAGACATGGAGAAACAGCGTATCCGCAGGGAACGACAGGCCGAGTTCGAGATGCAAAGGGCGTTGGAAGAAGAGTACCGGAAGCTACAGAAGGTCTCGCCCAGCGTTGACGAGCCAAGCGGAGGGAAGTCGAATCAAGGGCAAACATCATGATACACGCCCGAGCGGTTCTTTACGATTCATAGACTTTGTCTGGTATGTTCATGCCCTTGATGCTTAGAGGCGAAACCCTCCCTGACGAGAGAGCAGGTATAGATGTCCATTTGGCATGTGATGGCTGTATGCTTGTAGAATATACCCAAAATGTACATTAGAGATCAATATCCATACCCACCTCTGTATACTATTGATCCAGTCTGTCTTTGGTCGACTGCCGTGCTAAGAGATTGGCTGTTCAGCGCCACAACTGCTGAAAGAAGGCAATGCGACGGCTATATGGCAGCGGTATAAGAAGCACCGCTATGCATGAACAGAAGTTCATTCTGTATTGCTTTAGTAGAAATATATGTCAGTCTCAGACACGCTGATATTTGGCATTGTTGTAACATCCTTATCAGCCAAGAATGGCACGGTGACACGTGCCGGCGGACTCCGAGATAGGAGCGATAGCTGACCGACATAAAAGAAGGCCGGCTATCATCGGAGGCCGGCCCAATTCCGGCCTCATGCAACTAGGAAAGCCTATTCGGCCGCGATCCAAGGATGTTGGCCAATCATGCTGGGGGCCATGTGACATAAAGCCTTGGCATTTGGTGAAGTATAAAGCAGTCCATAATGTAGACAGCGACGCTTTGGGGCAGTTATGGCTGCGTTAGAAGTATTTTTGAGAGTAGTAAAAGGCCTATCCTATTATCAGGAGCCTGTAATTATATACCAACACCTTTATGGCCGCCACCAGGCGGCTAGACCTCGGAACGAGCACAGGGTGCAGCTGCTATACCCCGCTCAATCGGGAATAGCGCGTCCCCGTGATTCTGGCGTGCCCTTATTTGCCAAGAGTTTGTATAGAGTCGATGGACGTGCATCTGATGGCCAGACATGCCTGTAAGGGGTGTTGTTTCTGCGTAGAATCATCGCAGAACCCCAATATATCACGTAGTATGGTCCATCATATATGATGCTACGTTATCGCGAACGAGTCTGAGGTCCCCACGCAGTTTTCCTGCCTCTTTCGTAATGGTGCCTTTGAGGCCGGAATTGATACCGGCCTCTGAGTATTATAAGAATCGCCTGCTTTCCCGCCCAATTCTGACTCCCAAGCTCTCCTTCCCAGATCCTCCAGTATCCGCAAACATTCCCAGTGGGAAATTTCCCGTTTTTCTTATCTTCTTCTTTCTTTGACTTTGGGTCTCTACCAACCCTATACTCTCATCGTCATCACATCATCATCCATTTGCCTTACATCTCGGATAGACTTCTATACTACATTACCTCCACACCATGTCTCCCTCTAGAGTCCCCTTGCCCAACAGCACTGTGGATCGCTTTCCTCACATTCATGATGACCCTTCCACTGTGCCACGGTCCTTGGACCCCTTCACTATCACCACCTCCACTGGCTTCCTCCCCTACCTCACTGCCCCTACCAAGCTGCCTGATGTCTTCCAACCCCTGATGTCCCTGCTTGAGCGGATGCCAGTACTCAAGGAAGATGGCTCTCCAGGTCTGCTTGCCAAGTATGAGCTGGGCCCTGCTGTCCTGGCTGAGCTGCCTGACTTGACGGATGAGATCGACAAGCAGGTCACCCCTGAGGGGTTGCCGGACCTGTACATGATTGCTGCTCTGTTCCGGGACTATTCGTTCCTCGCTTCGGCTTATATCCTTGAGCCATGCTGGGAGAACTGGTGCAAGGACCCTGAGAGTGGCTATGGGTTAGGACGGGACCTGCTGCCCAAGACTGTAGCTCGTCCCATGTACCGTTGTTCTCAGCTGTATGTCTACCCTACATGACTTATAGTATCTTGACCAATTTACTAACATGATACAGTTTGGACATTCCTCCCTTCTTGTCCTATGCAGCTGCATACTCCCTTTTCAACTACACCTTGGCCGAGCCATCCAAGGGCCTGGTCTACCCTAACCTCAGATTGGTCCGCGCCTTTGAGAACGGCCTCGACCCCAAGAGCTCCGAGGCAGGCTTCATCCTGACCCATGTGGACATGGTCAAGTACTCGAGCGGCCTGATCAGCGGAGCTGTCAAGGTTGTCGACACAGTTGAGCAGGGTGGACCCCGCTCAGTAGTCAACGACGGGTTCCGCGAGATCCTGGAGTCGATGGAAAAGATCGAAGCAGCCATGGAGGGTATGCATATGCTTCCTACTTGTACCAGTACACTCCAGCTAACAATTACAGACATGTGGGCCAACTCCAAGCCCCAGGACTACCTCTCCTTCCGCGTCTTCATCTTCGGAATCACTTCTCAGTCCATGTTCCCCAACGGAGTCGTCTACGACGGGGTACTCGACAACAAGCCTCTTTTCTTCCGCGGAGAGAGTGGCGCAAACGACAGCATGGTATGCACCCATACCTATAACGTTATAAGCAACTCCAACTAATATTTTTGCATAGATCCCACTGCTCGACCACCTCTGCCAGATCCCCATGCCCTCCAACCCGCTCACAAAGGTACTGCATGAATTCCGCGCCTACCGTCCGCTTCCCCACCGCGAGTTCCTCGCGCACATCAACTCTAAGTCGGAAGAGGTCGGGGTGCGCAACTTTGCGCTGGCAGATACCGAGACGGCGATTCTTCTCCTGAAGACTCTCAACCATGTGCGCAGCTTCCGCTGGCGACACTGGCTGTTTGCCCGCGAGTACATTATTCGCCGCACGCCGCACCCTACTGCTACTGGCGGAAGCCCTATTGTCACTGTAAGTCTATGCGAGCCCTTTGGTGGTCAATGTAGTAGCAGAGTGACTAACGGACTACAGTGGCTCCCCAACCAGCTGTCTGCTGTGATGGACTTGATGATTTCGGTCTACGACACGTATCTGGCGCCTCAGAAGGGGGATGGCCTTGGACCGGACGGACAGAAGGGCTACGATGCGTATGCGAAGCAGGTTGAGCCGATGATGGAGATGGTGCGGGATCAGCGGGAGAAGTTGGCGAAGGAGGTAGAGAAGTGGTGTCAGGAGAGGGGTGTATAGATAGATGCCTGTGGAGAGTTTATGATACCTGCCACGTATGTGAGCAACATTTATAGTTTACTACATTTTTACACAATTCAACCTACCTTTGAACATACATCATCCAAACAATAAGTTGAATACTCCGAGGTACTATCTAAAGTAGCCACCAACCACGTGTTGTAGATCCCCACAACTCGGACATTCCACATTCGGCTGTTCCAATCAACCAACTTAATCAACGGACCTCGGCACTTCTCCGCATTCTCTCCTTTATATCACCTTCTTCTCCGCACTCACCACCACCTTCACACTTACAACCACAACCACCACACAATCACCACACAATCCAACCCACACAACAAAATGCCACCATCCCAACCCCCCGAACACTTCCACGGCTACCTCTCCAATTCCCCCACCACACCCCTGACCTACGCCCCGTACACCCCGAAACCCTTCACTCCCACGGACATCGAAATCAACATAACCCACTGCGGCATCTGCGGCACCGACCTCCACACACTCCGCTCCGGCTGGGGTCCCAACACAACGACCTACCCCTGCATCGTGGGCCACGAAATCATCGGTATCGTGACACGCATCGGCTCATCCATCCCCACCTACCCCAACACGACACCACTACGCATCGGCGACCGAGTCGGCATCGGCGCCCAAACCTTCTCATGCCTACAGCCCTCATGCGAGGAATGCGTCGCGGGGAAAGAGAACTACTGTCCGCGCATCACGGGCACATATAACAGCCGATACTGGGACAACGAGACAGGAAAGCGAAGCGACGTTATCGCGTACGGGGGATTCGCGCGGAAATGGCGCGGGCCCGCGGCATTCGCATTTCGGATTCCAGAGAGATTAGAGAGTGAGGTTGCGGCGCCGTTGCTGTGTGCGGGGACGACGGTGTTTGCGCCGTTGAGGAAGTATCTCGGTGATGGGGCGGATAGTGGGAAGGGGAAGACGGTAGCGGTGGTGGGGATCGGTGGACTGGGGCATTTGGGAATTATGTTTGCGAAGGCGTTGGGGTGTGAGCGGGTTATTGGGATATCGAGGAGTAAAGGGAAGCGAGAGGATGCTGTGAGGGGATTAGGGGCTGATGAGTTTATTGCGACGGGGGAGGAGAAAGGGTGGGAGAAGAAGTGGAGTCGATCGGTGGATTTGATTCTGTGTACGGTGGATGGCGATGATATGCCCCTTGGGAAGTATTTGAGGTTGTTGAAGGCCGGCGGGACGTTTGTGTTGGTGGGTGCGCCGGAGAAGCCGTTGCCCAGGATGAGGGCGTTTGAGTTGATTGGGAAGGGGGTTAATGTGACCGGGTCGAATATTGGGAGTCGTGAGGATATTAGGTGTATGTTGGAGGTTGCGGCGGAGAAGGGGGTTAGGCCGTGGGTGGAGACTAGGAGGATGGAGGAGGTTAATGAGGCATTGAGGGATATGGAGGCGGGGAGAGCGAGGTTTAGGTATGTGCTGGTTAATGGGGAGGAGAGGGGGAGTCGGTTGTAGTTTACTCTTGAGTATAGATTTGGGGAGTTTGTATTAGGGTGGGTGTGGTAATGGGGTTGTAGAGGAGTGAATCTCTTGATAGATAGTGTAGTGCTTATGAAATGAAGAGATTTAAGAGAGATTTAATAAAGAGAGAATTTTTCTCTGCCAGTTCTTATCGAGAGATCTAAAAGAGTACTACTTAGTCTTTACTTCTGATATGCTCGGTCTGATTCCGCCGTAGGATGAGGGTACCTTCCCAATCGGGAAAGAGGTACGAGATATACGAGTCTGCAGATCGTGAAGCCTCAAATTAAAAGATTTTATACAGGTGGCGATGAAAGGCAAGTCGCTATAGATTTAGGAGTCTTATTTCAACTGACGAGTCGTTATGTCCGTCAAGCACATGTTTCTCAGTCAAATGACTATATGTTTAGTCTTACTCCTACCATCCAACATAATGTCTCCCGACACCATAGCGGCCGGATAGTTTATCGAAACAACCCATCAATGCCTGCAGCGATTGTATTCGCAAATCTCTTTGTGTTGGGCACCCTCATTCATACTTATGGTCTGTTCCAAACACGGACTCTATCCCTTTCGTTATCGGAGGATACTGTATGTCAATCCTTCAACGTGAACTTGCACTAGCTGACCAACTAGTCGAGCCAATAGGATACATCGGCGGCGCGATGTCGGCATCTCCGACCCCCCTTTGAACTATTGGTCCGTACGTCATGCAGAGCACCCTGGTGCTGGTCGCGTCGGCCCTCTTCGCTGCGAGCATATACATGGAACTGGGTCAGATTGTAGCCCTCGTGAAGGGGGAGAGTTGGCAGTCATCCGGGTCGGCTGGATGACCAAGATTCTCGTTGCAGGAGATGCGCGTAGCTTCTTGATGCAAGCGTCGGGTGAGTGCACTCTGCGCTTGGATGGTGTTGTGTAATGTGCTAGACAGACTGTTGATGCTGTCCGTGTAAATCGTTTTCGCAACCTTCCATCCAAGCGAGATAAAATGGTTTCTTGGGCGCTGGAGCATCAAGACTGAGAAGGGGAATGGAAAGCAGAGAAGTATGTCTCTGTATAGGTGGGGCTGTCGTGGCTTGTAAATGTTTATTGAATGGATTGAATCACGAATCGATCTCCTGCTGTCCTATCCCAGCTGTATCAGGCGTATTGACTGGGTGTGTCTCCCCGAATATTTCCAGCATATGACTCTCAATCAGTGGCCTCCATTCATCGTCCAGAAGTTCCCATAATGCTCGCGCCACTCTGCTTCCCCGATCACCCATGTACCATGCATCCCTCAGATTATGGAATACAACGCAATGATACGCTAGTATTACCAAAGCCAGCGGTTTGCGCTCCCGCAAGAGTTCCATGAATTCAGGCAATTGCCTGATTGCCCATCGGCTGGAAGTCGACACAGAGGGCATACCAGTACGCGCCTCAGCCAGCATTTCTGCCAGACGGTCAAGTGCATTTTCGTAAGCAGCTGTGTCATGGGTGTCGTCTTGAGCCCCGCAAGCGTTGTTCACCTCATACAACCGCTCCAGGCTTGACTGTGCGTCTCTCAAGTAATCCTCATTCAAGTCTTCCACCTTGAAGATTATGCTCCATTCATCATTCTTTATGACCGAAGTAGCTTGCTTCAATATCTGTTGGACCCCACGCGCGAGCGTGAATATCTGAAGTAGGTCATCCACGTTTGCCCATGGATCGCTAGACTCGGGTGCGTGAGGTAAGCCAAAAGTATAATAGACCACAACACTGGCAAATGCAAACATAGCCCTTGCATTAGCTGAGTTGATATCGCTTAGCCTCTCGCGGAATAAGGCCAGTGCTTGAGCCTGATGTGCAACGGCAGTGCTGAGATAAATCGGACGCTGCTGGGTATCATGCCTTGTTCGTGCAATATGCAGGGAAGACAGCGCGAGTAGCCCGTGCATTAGGAAAGGATGCGTAATTGCTTCCTCTGAAGCGCGAAAGCGCCAAATGTGGTCCGTGTGTTCGCCTCGAGACACACTTTTGTGCGTTGAGTTGCACCATTGCATCATCAGCTCCAAGTCAGTGATGTTCAAGCTGGGGACTGCTTGCGAGGCGGCAAATGCATCACCCCATCTTCCCAGGATGCTGAGGGAGTTGGCAGTCGTAGCCGCAGAAGAGTCAGGCTGGGAAGCCCCTGCTGGGCTGGACTTCTTGGGCCGTATGCGAGAAGGGGGTTCTTCATTTGTCCATAACAGTGATGCGCTAGAGTCATACTCGCAGGTTGCCAGACGTTTTGAGCAATTTGAACAAGAGGGTCGTAATTCATCACACTGGTATCGTCAGTAAGGAAGACGATATGCAGTGAGTATTCCACAAGATTGCGGAAATAGGAGAGTACCTTCACCCGCCTTCGCTTGCATTGCAAGCAGCCGTGGCGCGATTTGCGATGGGGTCTTCTAAGTGCCATTGAACGTGGTGAAGGAGCTACTGCTGGCCATGCTAGAGTCGTGGAACTTGGAACCCACGGTTAGATTCTTTCGCATGAAGCCGTCGCTTAGACCCGCTATCCCGAAGATTATGGCGGGGGTAAGACAGAAATGTTAAGGCTGAAGTATTTCGTTCTTTCTTTGGAGCCAAGCTCGTCTTACGTCATCAACAGGGTCCTCAGCACCAAATCTTTGTGCTTATTGATATTATGATAGAACATAAACCAGAATTCAGAAAAGTCAATTTGGTATCTCGTATCGCATAAAGGAACCGCAGAACAACCATGTCAGAGAATCCTTTCTCCTCTTAACTACCACTAGCAGCAGCAGCGTCCCTGCGTCGCCGGGCTTTCTCGTACAAGGCTAGCACTGTGACTAGTGCCATAAGGTCGAAGTCCTGCCCATAATCCACAAACATCAGAAGCCTGCCTGTCTCCTTGTTCTTCCAAACAGCGTTGGTAAATACACCCACAACTTTACCGGTCTGCTCATCAACGAGTTTGAAGTTGCGATTGCTCAAGCTGTTCGTCTTGCGGTCCTCTTTAACCCCAACCGAGTGTGTCCGGGTGCAGAGGAATGAGTGCCGTTCGGGGCCCTGGGCAGTCTGCATCGTCATCTGCCAACAATACTTGGCGTGTCGGTGGTCTTGCGCCAGCAGATCCTCGTATGTAATACCATTGATATCGTTGGGATCGCCCAGACCGACCTTGAGATGTCTTGAAAAGTGTAGGAATTTGCAGACTGCCACGGTCGGGCCGTTCTCGTCGGACCCTGCATGGAAGGTAAGGTCTGGCTTCTTGGGCCTGCAGGAGGAGTTCTCCACCCGGTAGAGCTGCTTCCCTTGGGCGGTGGACACATTGTAATGGTTTCGGAACAGCGTGTTATGGATCTGATAGACGTGCGAAGCGCTTTGCTCGCTTGGAAGCTTCTCGTCAACAGATCCCTCATAGTCGGAGAGCCGAGAACCGACCAAGGTTGGGTCATTGGGGACCAGAGAAGGTTCGTAAGTAGCCATCTGCGTAGCAGGACAGTAGTAGTTTGTTAGACGGTGGCTCTGAGAACTGAATCCCAGATTCATGGAATCGACGCCATTCCATGGTTCTTATATCTTGCATCCGAGCCTTGTGTCGGACAAGGCGCTCTGCTGCGGCTCATGCCGATACGAGACCCTTTGACGATCATCAGGCTGTGCATCACAGCCATGCTGCTTTCTCCTTTTCTGATCCCTTCGGGCACTCGATCCATGGATAACCTCAGCCAATCATCGCTGGTTATGACTTAGCGGATACGACGGGCCCGATCGGGCGTAGCGTTGATGACTCAGGCTTTAATCTCATGTAACATCATCTGACCTATGCTAATCACGTGAATATATGTATTATCACCTGACTTGGTAGCTCACCGCCCGGCGCGCGTCTCGAACTTCGGGAGAATTAATTGTTGGCCGGCGAAAGAGTAGAATCCCAGATTCCAGAAACACAGCAGCTTCGGACGGGCGTGTTGCTTCTTTCTCGCTCTGCCCGGCTGCTTGGCGATTCCTCAGCTCTTGTTCGATGACCCGACCTCACTAAATTGATTGCGCAACTCTATTCCCTTCCTCTTACGCTGTCCAACCGCCCCGAATTGAGGTGCAGCTCTATGCTTCCTCGCTCTTCGCGTTCATCTTCCCTCTTTCATCTCCGAGCTTCTTACCAATTGATATAGCTTGTCGCAGCATGTCTTTCAAAACCTCTTTTGAGTCCAGTCCGCCGTCAACCCCCGGCCATTCCCGCAGTGTATTCAGTAATCTGTCAGAAACGCCGGCAGGCGCTCCGCCCTCCGCATCCAATTCCTTCACTCCGCAAGGCCATCCTCACTCCAGCAGCATGTTCGGCAGCTCCCAAATGAGCTCTGGCTCCCTCTTCACCAAGTCCGGGAACATCAATCCCAACGATAGTATCTTCGGCTCCTCCATCGCTTCCACCGACTTTGCCCTCCCCCGAGGCAAGAAGACCACTCAAACCAAGTCCTTTGCGAAATCGCAATCGCTGTTCAGTATTACAAATGGCAGCCGGTTTGCAGAATCGACTAGCTTTGGAAATTCTAACGGCTTCGCGGATTCACGGATGGATGATGATGCCACCGACCAAGATGCGGAGGGTGAAGAGGAGGATCTGCCGGAGGAGCAAGCTGAACAGACCGACAACGCTATGGACTTGGGTACTACAGAAAAGGCCACAGGGTCTCGTTTCAGCTTCCTGGACTCCCAGCTTGGCGATTCTATCTCTGCGCCGTCCGCCGCGCTCGGCCAACGAAAGTCGATCTACTCAAATTCCACCACGCAAGCAAAACGCCCAAAACTCGACGAAAAGTGGGCAAACCAGTCACCTATACGGAAAGGCAAGCTGTCGCCTAAGAAGGACTCTGCGATGCCGTCGATTGTGCGCAACTTCGCTTCGCGTTCGCGCGTGGCTGCCGTGGAAGAGCCAAGCGAGTTCATCATGCATACTGAGGATGAAGTTTGCCGCATGCACGATGAAGTGAAGAAGTCTGACTACAACAACACTGACTTTGAGGTTGCTCTGTCGGACTCTTGCGACAGACTCGTGGACACGTGGCAGGCAATCGCAAATCAGGATAGCGCTGGACAAAGTCCAGGTACCGGCATCGGTCCAGGAGACAATGCTTCGAACATTGCGAAAGCAAGCTTCCTGGCATCCTTACTGCTGCGGCTTCATCACCCTCCTCAGTTGGCACCCAAGCCCAGCCTTCTAAGCCCCCTGGGATTTCCAGCGCGCAATTTATTACTGGCCCCCGCTCGGACAAATACCCCTACGCCCATACCCAAGCTCCTTCTTGACTGGCTTGATGAGAACCATATGCCTCTTACTGATGAGCTGCAAGCATTGAAAGAGATTGAGCCCAATCCTACGGCTTCTCCAAACTTTTGGGAACTGATTAATGCTGCTGTATTGCGTGGCCATCTCTCCGAGGCTGCGGACCTTTTGCGGTCGGCTGATTTTAACTATGCACGGTCCGCCTTGGAGGATGGATTGCCGCAGTCAGGCTATCGTGGCGCACAGCTGCAGAACATTCAGAGGTGCGTTAACAGGGCCCTCCAGGTCCTTGACTCATGCCCCAGCGTGCAGCACGGGGATTGGGACATTAGAGGCCCCGAGTGGGCTACGTATAGAAAACGTGTGATTGCCGCCGTGACAGACTTGGAGGAGTTTGCCGAAGGCAGTGAACAGGCGTCTCCCGAGCCTCCGGCTGCGGAGAACCGCTTCCAGGCAGTCAACTTTGGATTGAAGCCCACGGCTGCTGCCCCGATGTTCTCTTTTGCTCAGAACGCACGCATGGCCGAGAGCAAAGTCCCGTGGGCCATCTACCAGAACCTTCGGTCCATGTACCGCATTATCCTCGGCGATACGAGCGTAGTCATGGACCACGCGGAGGATTG